TTTAATTGTGCTCTAAATCAGTTGTTTGCTATGATCCTTTGTAAGCTTAGTCAAGTTTGGTTATTATGTGTTAACTCTGGCTGCAGAATTTTATTTATTGTTAACCATTTATATAATGTCCAATGTTTGTCGTTGTTGTTACATCTATCGCACGAATCATTATATTTATTGCATAAATCTAACAACGGGAAACACAAAGTGCATAAAAATGAATAGAATTAAAGATTTGACAGTTGGGCTTTTTAATGCTGGATCTCTTAACACTGGACATGATGAGTTCATTGTGGCTGTTGAGGAACTGGGACCAGATGTGTTAGCAGTGAATGAAACCTGGTTAAGACCCGGGCAGTGTGGTAGGGCCCCAAAACTGACGAACTATAGGTTCTACCATACGCCGAGACCTGACAGCGTTCGTGGTGGTCGTGGAGGCGGCGTAGGGTTTTACATACGCAGAGGTATAAACGCACGACCCTGTCAACATCCCGCAGCCGACACAGTCGAGCAGATGTGGCTTAAGGTAAATAAAATTTATATTATAATTTGAACTGCTTACCGACCACCAAGACAGGATATTAACATCTTCCTTGATGCTATCTCGGAATCAGTTACATCATTTCCGAAAAAGGATGGACTTATTCTACTCGGTGACTTTAATATCAACCTCCTCAGCTCTGGAGGGGCGCAGGAACTATTTGAGCAAACTCTGCGCTGCACAGGTTTGAAGCAGATTGTCACTGAGCCGACACATTTCACTACCCAGAGTCACAGTCTGATTGATGTCATCTGTACTGACATAAATGTACTTCATGTAAAAGTAAAACATTCACCTGACTTGGGTGGACATGCCATGATTATTGCTAAACTTAAAATAAGAATAAATAAGCCATTGCCACAGTGGGTAACTTATAGGCCCCTGAAAAACATAGTTTTAGATCGGTTTAATGCTGATCTGGACTCAATTAATTGGAATTATTTCATGCAGTCGAGGGACAGGGTTGACATCTTGGTTGATAACTTTACATCGGTCATAACTGGATTATATGATATGCAGTCTCCACTTGTATCAAAAAGATTTAAGACACCCCCGCACCATAAGTCTATGATACGCATAAGAGATGCATATCATTTGAAATACAAAAAGCACAAAACACAAAATCTTAAAGACAGTTATATATTTATGAATAACATTACAATCCAAGCCATAGAAGAAGAAAAGAAAAGTTATTTTGCTAACAATATTAATAATAACATGAGACAACCTAAAAAACTGTGGCAGAATCTGAAGCGGGACATACTGCCCGATAACACAGCTACAAGTTGTCTTCCATCATGCTTAGATAACCCTGACTCAATAAATAGGCATTTCCTTAAAGTCCCGGGTAAAGAAGATGTATCTATTTCGGACCTCACTTTCTACGAACACCACAGACACAGAAGGGCTGGAACATTCAAATTGCACCCCGTCAATGCAGATGTGGTACTTAAAGCTATTACAGGACTTACATCCAATGCACGGGGCACGACAACATCTCACTGGAAATGTTGCGACTCACTTTGCCTCAGTCCTTAGGAGCAATCACCAGTATAATAAATAGATCTTTAAGTGAAAGCACATTTCCAGAAGCTTGGAAGCACGCTGTGATAAAACCGTTACCCAAAAATACACAGCCATCATCTTTAAATGATCTTAGACCAATAAGTCTTCTTCCCTGCTTGTCCAAGATTCTGGAAAAGATTGTCAGCGATCAACTCACTGAGTACATCGAGAGCCATGACTTATTGCCACAGCTCAAGTCAGGTTTTCGCAAGGGTCGCGGCACAGCAACCGCTTTGGCTGATATAGTGGATCATCTCTTGGCAGCTCAGGACCGGGGTATGGTTGGTGCTCTGCTGCTGTTGGACTGCTCTCGTGCATTTGACTGCATTAATACAACACTTTTGTTGTCCAAGTTGACATATTACGGCTTTGACACTGATGCGATTGGATGGTTCTGCAGTTATCTTACAAACAGGCAACAATTCGTGGAAATATCTGCAGCCAATGGCACTAAATCCCGATCACCTTCTTTGCCAGTCACCCGAGGAGTACCACAAGGCTCACTGCTGGGTCCTCTTTGTTTTGTACAGTGCAGATATGGTCGACTGCATACAAGAGTGCAGGTATCATTTGTATGCCGATGACATACAACTTTTTTACTCTTTTAAGCCATCCGACGTCACTGAGGCTGTGGAAAGAGTGAATGGAGATCTCACGAGAATATCAAAATGGTGTCGTTCAAATTGTCTAGTACTGAACCCACATAAAACTAAACTTTTGCTCACAGGTACTAGAAACAACATCAATAAGATCAATACTAGCCTGCTGAATATTGAAATGGATGGAGTGCTTGTAGAGAGGGTAAATGCAGCAAAGAGTTTAGGTCTGACTCTGGATAGCCAGTTAAACTTTGAAAATTATATTGTAGAGTGCGCACGTAACTGCTTCTATAGACTGAAGTTGCTGTACAGGATAAGGCAATATCTATCTGAAAAACTCAGAATAACACTATGTGAGGCATTGGTTCTGTCCAAATTCAATTACTGTGACACAGTCTATGGTCCATGTTTACTGGCTAGAACAGCACGGCTTATTCAGCGTGTTCAAAATGCGTGCGCACGCTTCTGTTTTGGCATACCGCCACGAACACATGTCACCTCATTTTTGAATTCAGCTAACATGCTGAAGATGGAGAGCCGTAGGCGAGTGCACCTCACTACCTTAATGTTTGGCATCATACACACAGGCAGGCCACAATATCTGTCAGCTAAATTGGTATGGGCACAACTCGACAGTAAACACCAAAAGAGGCGGTGCACTCGAGTCTTCTCCACCCCCACACACCACACTGCTGCTTTTCGTGGGTCTTTCAGGTTCGCTGCCTCCAGGTGCTGGAATGATCTTCCTCCTCCAATGCGAGATCTGAAATCCAAACAATCATTGAAGACTACCTTAAAACGTCATTTGCTGAATTTGCAATGTACGCATTAATTTAAAGATACTCACCCAATTTTCAGTCTCGACAGTAAGTTATGGGGATTAGATTCGGTACCTGGAGGCAAACTTATTCGGGTGATAGGCGGCCGCGGGGGTTCTTCATGGTAATAGTGTGATTTGGGTGCACGTTTCTGACGGGATTATATAGCTGCTTCCCTTTTCCATTCAAGTTGCTGAGCAATTACTGAGTTTGTACACTCAATTTCACTGTTTTTGTGCGGTATGTGTGACGACAGTAATAGTAACATTAACAAGTGACAGCCACAGATTACGGAGCGCAGAATTCAGAAAGTGTATTCTTTCGCACCTTGTGCTGGCACGTCATGTGGCTAATCGTGTTTGCTATTTGATAGATATGTATCCATAACGGGCAGTGAGAGGAAGGAACTGCTATCGAGGCGGATGCGATTGGCCATGTGAGGTTCTGGCATAACAGGCCCTGCCAGAATACCAGCGCTGCTGTGACACGTTTTATAGCGTGTTGCGGCAGCATTACGCTGAGGCAGGGTCCTGATTGACCACAAATGGTACTTTATTTTTTTTCTTCTTTTCTCCATTATGTATATTTTCTTATTTTTTTTTTTGTATGTTGTTTTGTAATTTATAATGTGGTCAATAAAAATGATTCTCTCTCTCTCTCTCTCTGATAATTTTAGAGGTTTTTAATGTAAAGTAAATAAACACATTTTTTTGCGCTTACATTACAAACGCGGGCTGAACCCTACGAGATAGATCAAAATAATGTACTACAGTATTGTACACCTTAAAAAGGTCTACAAAAAAGTCGACGATGATATATGTCTATCTCTTAGGGTTAACCCACAATAACCATTTTTTATCCTATACTTTTTACGAGAAATAATAAATTATTTATGAAGCGATTTTCAGCAATATAACATTCATCCTTATCCAGTTAAGTACCTTAATACATTGTGCATTTAATATAGACCAATTTGGCCCTTCGACGCATGTAATTTAAATGAATATTTTCGAAGATATTACAGATTTAAAATGCAGGGACATAAAATGCGGTTCCGACGCTACCGGGGGGCTTGGCGGCGCGTGCCTATTGTAATTAGGTATTAAAAGAATGTCATTGTGTATTATACAAGCCTGAGAACAAAAACTATAGTCTACGCTACAGCTCAACACCGAAGCGAAGCGAGGGCGGGTCACAAGTATCATATATATTGCATACGTATTTTATTTAAAATGTTATGGAGCAATGTAGTCCAGATGCATAGATAGCTGGTTTTACCTGGCACAGCAGCCACCCTCACCCTGCCACGATGCCTCTTACCTCAATGCCTCTAGCCTTGCTTCTCCAAACCTCTTTTAGAGGAAGAGAAAGCATTCCATTTGTAGATAGTGCCATAAAATAATGATGTGTCATCACATCACATTTCTTTGTTCGCATCAGATTGATAGCGTCATTGTAGGTCATCGCTCGTGGTCCATCGAAGGAAAGGGGAAGGTGGGTAACGGAGGGATTGTTTTCCGAATATTGTCACAAACAAACTCACAGCAACAAAAGTCAGTTTTCGAGCAGCTGATACTGTCTTTCTTAAAGCTTATCGAGTACATTAATAATAATCACAGCGACAATTCGTTGCCTGCCTGTCACACACAGCGAGTTCTGCAATCCAAATTTCGACAGTCTGTTACGCGATTTCCTTTGAGTTTATCTTTAAAAAATGCTGTTTTTTGTGTCCCACACAAAGCACAGCTCCTCGTATTCCCTATGTACACCCAAGTTGAATTTCCGCACTAAAATAATGTCGAAATTCGCGTTTGGAACTCGCTGTGTGAGAGGCAGGCAGCGAATTGTCGCTACGGCTTTTATCCGCAGCGAATATTCGCTGTGTGTGACTGAAGCTTTATAGCGATAGCAGAATAAAGCCATGACTCACTTCGACAAGCATTAAATTTAATTGGCATCTCTGAGTGTATTTTGATTATTAATAAGTTATGAACAACGTTTTCCGTAGGGATGTTGACATCTTTCGTCTGTACACTGCAGCTCTCTCGTGCGGAGCTTTTTGCCCCTTTTGTAGGGGAGTTTGCCTTCAATGTTTCCGCTGGAAAAAAACAACATACCTAGAGATCTTTAACATTTTTGGATAAACGTCATACCTAGTTGTAATTTCGATTACAACTAGTATACAAAAAAAATCTATACACTAGCTGTGCCCGCGACTTCGTTCGCGTGGATGTCGGAAAAAAGGTTAAAGTGTACATAGTACATATTACAGTGTCGCTAACTTTTTTTGGAACTTCTACTTCCTTATTATAATACGAAGAATAAGCTAGGGTTAGTTACTACATGTTTTGTCTCTGTTCATTGAATGACAAATGCCAATTGAGGGATATGCATAAAACACGGCGTAACAGTCTAAGCTTTTTCGTCGTTTATTAAATTATTGCGGCTAAAGAGTAACAATAGGGGTGATGACGGGGTACAGTAAACGAAATTCTATTTAGTCCGTCAGTTAGATGATCAAAAAATAATGGACACGTATTTTTTCTTTGGGAAATCAACCAAAAAATGACAAAGTGATAGCGCGTCAAAGTTTGGGAGTAGGGGCTCAATTTTGAGTGAAAATTGTACTTGTTTAATTGTAAAACGTGACGTCATGCGAATTTTCAAATCAATATATCTCTGCAATGTTTATATTATGTGAAAAAAGAAAACATACGTGTCCAATACCTTTTGATAATCTATCTGATAAACGAAGAAAAAAAAATAGTCATCATCCCTGTTCCGTCATACATGACGTTTGCGTAACTTTAACTGTTTACGCAGCAGTGCACGTGCACGCAACGAAAGCACTGCGAGGGAATATTTTTAATAATCTTGTGTCGCTAAACTACACCAGCCTGATATAATTTTGCATTAATTCAGCAATTAAAAAAGAGAAAAACAGGTTTTTAATATATAGGTAGTGAGTATATTTACCCAGGACCATAGTAGCAAACAACAAAATACTGCGCCCATATTTCACGATGAAATTTTGAAACAGCACAACCTACATGTGTAGTATCAGCCCACACAAACTGAAATAGAAAACAAATTAATGATTTTTTATAAAACATAAAAAATCTTCTTCGGTCTCATGAAACCACGACCCAAGTGAAACTTTTGAAATCATTAATAAAAAAAAGTCTGTCGGCTTGGATTCAAACCTTGACCGCCAGCGTAGAAAGAAAGCTTTCTTGCATTGAACCACCGATGCTTGTAAATAAGGTCTGAATTTCTAATGACAATTAAAAATGTAATGCGACGTGTTAAATATGAACGAACAGTACAGTTTTTGGATGGCGATGTAATAAAAGGTTTATTTTTAAAACAGATTTGAAATTTGGACTATAAGTATTTTATCAATATTATCAAAAGAAAGTATCCGAATTACTGTATAGTCACATACTTATAATAATAATATTTCCAACACTCACACCAATTAGCCTAGCCCCAAAGTAAGCACTGTAAGGCTTGTGTTATGGGATACTAGGGTAACGGATGGAATACATATACTGTACATATATAAGTATATTTATATAGAAATACATATTAAACATCCATGACTGGAGTACAAATGCTCGTATTCATCACACAAACATCTGCCCCCACCGGGATTCGAACCCGGGACCTCTATCGAGTCGGCGACACCATGGAACCTGGCTTACAAACCACTCGGCCACGGAGGTCGTCAAATATTTCGGAGTCAATGACGTAGTACACTGTGATAAACACAGAGGTACGTGTGGTTTGCTGCTGCAGCAATCAAAACATAGATATACCAGACCTTTTTCTTTCCCGTTCCATCCGTAGCAGCGAAGGGGGCTTTGGCAAGCGGCATTTCCTTATACTAGTTTGAACGATAAGATAGATGTATCTACCATGTTTATCATCTGACTACCTGTGTGTAACGGCCTGTTTCCGGTTGCAATGATTTGCCAATTTTTCCGAAACGGTAATTCTTATGTTCCTCCTCAAACCACGAGTGCAAAGCTTGCGTTGGGGAGAACTTAAAGATGCGGTCTGTGGTCGAATACCAATACAGATTATGTCCTGTATTGAACCTTTGTGTATCTAAAAAGAGTATTTTTGTAGTTTATTAGCATACTTTATGATCAAGACAGCAAAAAAAAAAGATTTTTTAGCACTTGATGTATTTAAGAAAAGGATTTTTTTCAGTAAACCGCTACTAAGTCTGCTAACCTTAAACCACAACCACGAACTATGACAGATTCGTAATTTTACAGCAGCGTCAAAGTTTATATGGAAACTAAGCATCGCCCCCTACCGGACGTAAGAACAATCTGACTTCTTCCATAGAAAACTTGACGATGGCTATGCGATTACGGATCTGTCAATGTTCATGCTTGGCCCACTGGTGACATAATATTTTCAGAGCATGTGAAAGTTGAGACAATATTGGACCAGACCCCTCGTGTCGTTGTAGAAAAAAAAGGCGAGTGTGCTTATGACCACACGACTGAATTGAAACTTCCTTAGCGCCAATAATCTGAAAATCATAAACTTAACCTGAAGATTTGTTGATAGAAAAAAAATCACCAATCCACGCTGGGTCCGTTATCACCCTCCATTCCACACTGGGTCCATTATTACCCACCAATCCGCGCTGGGTCCGTTATCACCCACCAATCCGCACTGGGTCCGTTATCACCCACCAATCCACGCTGGGTCCGTTATCACCCACCAATCCGCACTGAGTCCATTGTCAACCACCAATCCGCGCTGAGTACGTTATCACCCTCCAATCCGCACTGGGTCCGTTATCACCCACCAAGCACTAGATTCATTTATTTTGTGACGGGTATTGTTGAGTCACCGCTGACACTAATCGTAACGAGAAAACGTAACACATTCGCCAGTTTACCCAGTTAAGTGTGCCTAAAGAAGTTTCACTTTTTATCTACCCCTTACCCTTCATCTTATAAAAGAGGACCTCGACGGCACTGTTAGCGAATTCGGTCTGGAAGAAAATCAACTTTCACAATGGTCTGGGCAACCATTTACACACATTGTACATTTTTATTATTTCAAATTCTTCCGTACTTTGAAAGGCTCATTGAGCCGTTGGTCTCTGCTGCATCTGCAGTCGTTAGTACCCAATTCATTCATGCATGCATGGACAGTTAATTTCATCCATGGAAAAGCCCACCAGTGGGGTCATTAACAGGCATGCTAACAGAAAAGTATAGCCAGATAGCATTATTGTCAATATGCTGCAACAACAGAAAATAAAAGGGTTAATCTTTTTTTTTATACAAGGCGCAACAATTGACCCCACCCTAACTGATGTTAAGTGTAAGTTAAGACCAGTTGAGAAGATACCTGATGCGGCAGAAGGTGTGCCGCTCTAGCAATCCTCACCTTGCCGGTCTGAACCCAATCCCCCACCCCATGGAGCCCTGGAACTCTATTCACCAGCAGAAACTTAATTCCACCAAAAGGTGGTGTTAATTTACTATGGTCGTATGTAAGGTGAAGGTTGCTTGCCCAGACGGGCGCTCCAATTCTAGCGAGAAATTCGCTCTGCCCTACTTCTCTGCACATAAATAATTCATCTCTGTGAAATAATTAATATAAATAAGAATAATTTCAATAATTTAAGAATTAAACAATTCATTTCTGTGGGTTACAGACAGCATTGGACATTGGCATGCTTAGAGAAAGCGGTCTAGCTAGACACTCGCTTAAAAACCCCTTTGTGGTGGTTTAAACCGCCATGAACAGCAGCAGACGTTGAGCATTACGAATCCAACAATAAAATAACATTAAAGTGCGATCAAGTTTTTGTGGCACTTAGATAACGTTGACAGGAGGAAGCTGCTGCTGAATAGGTGGTGAAATGATATTACTAATCCTCACTTAGGGAACGTCGTTATTATTTAGAATAACTCGGCTTAATTATATAAAAGGCTTATTTATACCTTCTTAAAATTAATTAGTTCACATTTCTGGCACGCGCCACAAGATCTTGTTCACACTGTATCCTCTTCCTGGTGTCGAGTGAAAGATTTTCAATTTTCACTTAATCTTACCAACATCTGTATCCGGATTATTCGAATGTTTATAAACGGAGGCCCACTTCGCTGCTTTCATGGCTAATTCATTATCCCACACCTGAAAATGTAGTTAACCATATTTGTTCCTTTTTTGTTGAAATCAATAAATATTTTCCACCTTATTACCAGGACCAGCTGCCCTTGGTCGGGTAAAGAGATATTGTCTCTAGGCGTCATTAAAATTACATGTTTATGAACAAAAATTTAATTTTATCTTATTTACGGTCAGTAGTAGCTGTAATTAAATTTAGGATTGACTTAGATATTCTTCAAGTTTAGTGCAAACTAATTTGTGCCTGAGTAAGTCAACTTTATTGCCATAATATTTGAAAATGAGGTTTTCTGGTTCTAATGGCTATGAATTTGGAAAAAGTTATAAATTTTGACGTGACAACGTCTTAAATTAGGTTGCGGCTGGGAGTCACTTATGAAAAAGTGTAACGCTCGGTAACGTTACGATGAGTCTCTCGTGTTAAGTTTAAGTTTACATGTACAATGTTTTAGTAAACAAAATATATTTCTATAGTTAAAATTTGTGCAATTCTTATTTTCATTCAATTCCTTGTTCCTATTGTGCAATTTAATTATATTCATATCAATAAATATTCTACCGAGAAAAAGACGTTGTCACGTAAAATCTTCGCCCGTAAAACCGACTTTACAGGCAACCATTTTTTATGGGATATTTATATTTAGGCCTTCTTATAAGCTACCACACACGTTGCACGTGCAGTGACAGCATCCCATGAGAACTTATAACAAATTCTACTGACCTAAGGAGGTATGTATATGTCACCGGTATATAATCCATTCCGTAAGTTTATCAATTTCCTAGTAAATTGATCAACTTTCGTAAGATAGTAAACGAGAGATAAAATGTATTATGTTACGGGAACATTTTCGGAAATTGATCAATTTACGACGTCTCGCGGTAAATTGAAAAACTAACTTAAAATTTCAAGACCTGTCAACGTAAAATTCTAAGTACTGTGACCAATCCCAGAACAGAGTAGTTTAATTTTTACGTCATCTAAATTTACGTAAAATAATACACAGCTTTCTGATTGGTCGCTGTTAGCGACTTCGGTGCTTGCCGCCATAGACTTAGGTACGATCAGACATGTGCAAATATTTTTATACACAAGATGATTGTATAAGTGCCCATAAGGCTTAACTGTACTTCCAGGGCCCAAGCGGTGATACTTTACACTAGGTTAGGTTAGGTTAGTATTGTTACCAAAACGCGCGAGCCGAGCGAGCAAAGCGAGCGCGCCGCGGTAGCGGCCGGCGAAGCGCCAGAAAAAAAACTTTGATTGGAGACTTTTCTACAAAAAAAGAACAAGTATCACCTCTTGGGCCCTGGAAGTACAGTTATAGCCTATAGTACCTTCGTCACATTTTTAAATTTTTGTTCGGTCATCTGTTTTTTTATCATTCATGACTGATAAAATCTACAAACGGCTGCATTTAATGGACGCCTAAGAAAATTATAATGCGTATTTACCAAATAATTCATGTTAGTGGCTGCTGGCTGCTTGTCCACTTCGCCTTTTGCAACGAGTAGACGTCTGCTATTGTGACCATCGACAAAGAGTCTGATATCATGACAAGATAACTCAATCACTGAAAATAAATTTATATTGCCACTAAAATAGTTACCTCCCGTAAGGGCCTGATTTACTACAGGCTAATAAGGGTAGAGCCTAGGGCGTCAGGACCAAGGGGGCGGCCGACAACGCCATACTCTTTGGTACCGGTCACTTAAATAGCTTCGAAATAAATCAAGTACTGCTCTCTGAATTCCAAGACACTCAAGCTTTTAATCAAGATTGGGATGGAGACAGTATCAAAGGTTTTGGAAAGGTCTAAAAATATGCCAATACATTTCTAATTTAAGTTTAGAATTATTTGCACCTTTAAGCGAATAAAAAGGTAGGAAAGCACAGGCAGGGGGGGCGTATATTTATAGTTAGCCTAAGGCGGTAAGAACTTTAAATCAGGCACTGCTCCCGTTATTCTTTTTTGATAACACTGCCATCTTAAGAAAATCGGAAAATTAAAATGTGTTTATGTTCCTGCGCCGGTGTCAGTGGTGAAGGAGAATTTAAATAGTTATAAGAATTATGAAGGTACTTAAATCGAATGAAGATAATTATCAAAATTGAGTTGCAAAATTTCACCCGAACAAACATAATTACATACTGTACATTTAATGGAAGTTAAATAAAAGCTTTTAAAAATAGGTACCTATTCCATGCGTTAATCGAGGGTATAATTATGTGTTATCTGCTCAGTTGTTTGGGTGACAAACAATCGAAATTTCACATTTATAATATTATAATAGTTTAACTTACATTTGCAATGAACGCCGCAAAATAAAATGGACAAAATAATCGCTTTTAATTGCATTGTGTGCTAACACGCTGCAAATTAATTAGAAAATAATGTTGGCTCTATGAAAAAATCAACTAGAAATAAGTGTATGCACTTTAACTAATCGCAAGACGGTTAATATTGCCTATTAGAATTCCAAGCCATAAAAAATAAAAACCTACGTATACATGTACTTAGGTAACAATTTTCTTTTGATTAATCGATATGACTGTATTTCAAAAATAAAATTTCTAATGCTTTTAACCGTATTATATAAGTATATATTAATAGATAAATCATTGGTCACCCTCGAACGAAGCGAGACCAATCATTATATGTACCCTTAGTACGAGTTTTACAATTACGAAAACTATGATAGTTTTCGTGAGCTCGCACTCGTGCTTAGGGTACTGATTTTATTGTTTTCGTTTGAATACAAATAAACAGTGTTTAAATTCTATTAAAAAATTGCGTCTTCTTAAAATTTAAGTATATTTGATTACTTTTCACCAAAATGGACATAGAAACATATTTGTTTCTTAGGTTTTCACGCACATCACTCATTAAATAAAACTAGTTTTTACGGGTTAATGCACGAAACTTTATTTATTTATTGACGTTTCGCAGCCCTTACAGGCTACGTCGTCAGAATTAAACTTTTATTTAATTTGTCGAGCTACCTTCGAAAGACTTTTATTGAGCGTTCGGTTATTTCATTGTTCGATTTTTAAAGTTTTATTGTCTATGTATGAATTTATTATTAAATTTACTTAAAAAAAGTATTTTATTTAAATTCTTTTTTGTAATTTTGAGTTTATTTATTTGACCCTTACTACTTACAAAATTGGGAGACCTTTCTGAGAAGAACCGGCGAAACAAACTCTAGAGAGGCTTTCTATCTTCTTATGTTAAATTATGCAAACAAAAAGAACTAATAGCATCTGATGGTCTTGCAGTGTGTGCTCGGGGTTGGAATTTTATCTCCTGTGTAATAGGTTCCCAAGCTGGTGATATATACCAACCATCTTCCCTATTGAAATTTGGATATTTTTTAATCTCAATAGCCTCGCGCATCATTCGAGGAACGAACCGCCGCGCAGCTGCAAGGATATGTGGTTTATCAAATCTAATGTAATGGTTTGTCCCCCTAATGCATGTTCACACACTGCAGACTTATTTTCGCGCCTATGTTTCATATCTGCGATATGTTCTTTTACCCGAGTCCCTATACTCCTCTTTGTTTGCCCGATGTAGGAGAGCCCACAGTCGCATTCAAGTTTGTAGACACCAGCAACTTGAAAGGGTATATTGCACTTGACCGGTTGTAGAAACTGGTTGATCTTCTTTGGCGGCTTGAAGTATGTATTGATTGAAGCACGCTTCAGAATCCTCCCAATCTTGTCAGTGACTCCTTTCATGTAAGGTAGTATAGCAGGTACCTATCAATGGTGAGTCACCATTGAGGTACCTATCAATGGTGACTCACACCATCACCCGAAACAATTAACTGCCGTAGGAAACTCTTTGTTTCAGAGAGCATGGGGTGTCTGTGACAAACAACACCTGGCAGCTGAACTTCAGCATGTCGAGCAAGTACTGAAGGATAATAACCTGAATGTTCCACGTCGCCGTCACAGTCGCGCCAAACCTAGCACAGTCGACCGACAACCTGCTATACTACCTTACGTGAAAGGAGTCACTGACAAGATTGGGAGGATTCTGAAGCGTGCTTCAATCAATACATACTTCAAGCCGCCAAAGAAGATCAACCAGATTCTGGCGGCTGAGCAGCTGAGCGCGGTTCGTTCCTCGAATGATGCGCGAGGCTATTGAGATTAAAAAATATTCAAATTTCAATAGGGAAGATGGTTGGTATATACCACCAGCTTGGGAACCTATTATACAGGAGATAAAATCCCAACCCCGAGCACACACTGCAAGACCATCAGATACTATTAGTTCTTTTTGTTTGCATAATTTAACATAAGAAGGAGATAGAAAGCCTCTCTTGAGTTTGTTTCGCCGGTTCTTCTCAGAAAGGTCTCCCAATTTTGGAACCGGTGGTAGTTTACGGTAGTTAGGGTCAAATAAATAAACTCAAAATTACAAAAAAGAATTTAAATAAAATACTTTATTAAGTAAATTTAATAATAAATTCATACATAGACAATAAAACTTTAAAAATCGAACAATGAAATAACCGAACGCTCAATAAAAGTCTTTCGAAGGTAGCTCGACAAAGTAAATAAAAGTTTAATTCTGACGACGTAGCCTGTAAGGGCTGCGAAACGTCAATAAATAAATAAAATTTCGTGCATTAACCCGTAAAAACTAGTTTTATTCATAGAAACATAATTTACAATTACGAAAACTATGATGTTTTCGTGAGCTCAAATTCGTACTAAGGGTACCTACCGAGCGTATTATTAAAAATTATTAATTAAATAAAACAACATTATTAGTCCACGATTAAAATAAAACACATGAGAATATAATATGTAATATTCCTTTTCTTTTATTTTAACTAAGCCAATTTAAATTATTCCAACATTTCCTTCAAATTAACATGTTTTACGGTTGCATTTGTTGCCGTGGACACAAATCAATCCGCGCTTGTTGTTAGGCTCAGCTGTTTTGTATGGGTAATGCCCATATATGTTACCACTGAAATAAAATTGAATAGTCAATAGTTTCAAAACCCATTCCTTAGATCATGGAATCTAAATTGTTTTTTGTTCAAAGCAAGAAATACTTTCCACCTTAATACCAGGACCGACTGCCTTTGGTCAGGATAAAAAGAAATGGTCTTTATATTATGTAAATATAATTATGAGTTCGTATAAAGTATTCGAGAGTTCCCAATAACAATTTCGAAAGATCACAATCACATTATAAACTAAAATGACTAAGGCCCGTATTACAGAATGACAATTAAGTGTTGATCTTTACTTGAGTACAATTAGAAAGGGATGACGCTATGTGCTATATATAACGACATCCCTTTCTAACGTTTCTCAAGACTAGATCAATCACTGAGAATCTTTCTTTAATACGGGCATAAGTATTTTACTTAACCTTATTAGACTATTAATGTCGCTACTGACGGAGCATAGACCTTGCCTTAGGATAAATGGAATATGGAGAGTGGGCCATGAAACACCGCGCTTGTTCAGTACGGATTTATTAGGTAACGACTACAGATGCACCCGGGACCAAAACGACGACTTAACTTACCTTGCGAAGACCGGAGGAGTCCGTGATAATAATTGTTGCCCATTTACTAGCTAACTCACACGCCTTCAACAAACATTAACGCAGTCTTCGTATTACCAAAATATATTAAAGTGTTCCACCATTCTTGCTTTACAAGGTTAATAATGCCGTTGACTGCTCTATAGTCCCTAGCACCCGCCAATATTTGGACATTAATTAAGCACCAATAGGTACCAATATGTTTCTCTTTCTACCTGTAGATGCCTGGATTTAAGCAGTGAAAACACTAATATAATAATAATGTTGTGTGGATTTTTAATAAAAGAAAATAATAGTAGATAACGATGCTCACCCTGGGCCATAATTGCAAACTAGAAAGAATTTAGTCCATTGTATCCCTGTGTTCCGCGTCATAGCGCAACCGATATATGCGGTGTCCGCCCAAGCCATCTACAACATAGATACGAATGGTATTATGAATGCCCGCAACTGTGTCTTCGTTGAACAATCTATCTCCCATGCTATTTTTCATCCCCTATACACCTATTTCTAAAAACAAAAATCATAAAAGTGGTTCTATCCCAAAATCTCAATACCTCTAGGTATACTCTGTCTACAGAGTTAAGTTTGATATTTTATTTATCAGCATTGATAAGAAAGTACACAAATATTCACAAAGTGACTATTATAAAATAACTCCGTTCCCTTACTTATTTTTTTTGTTACCAAAAATACTTTTTGCTGTAGTAAACCCAGAGAAATCTCTTCTCGATCCACTTGAATCCATTGCATTTTTGGACCATAATGTCCAATTGAATTCTTGATCGAGGATTTTTTAAAGATTTAACGTATATATATCTCAAAATACATTTTAGAATGGGCGAAACATAACCCTTCCCTGGCTGTTCGCAGACATCGCGGATCATAAATTGAGAAAATAACTATAATTTATTAAGACGGATGCCCTGCTTCAGCCAGGGGAGAGTGCAAAAAGATCCATCAATTGATCTTTGCGATGGATTTAAGTGGATCGAGGGCTAATCTCCATGCCGTATTTCTGGGCGAGGTAGCGCCTTAGGCGTCCTTTAGACGGTAGGTTTAGCTGTCTGTTGTCTGTTTAGAGGAGCTGGATGGCGCAAGTGATTAGCGCGTTCGGCTGCGATCGTTGAAGTTAAGCAACTTTCGGTCATTGGTGACCAAAAATTACTATCTCGAGCTCCTCCGTGCTTCGGAAGGCATGTTAAGCCGTTGGTCCCGGCTGCATCTGCAGTCGTTAGCACCCACCAATCCGAACTGGGCCCGCGTGGTGGGTCATGGCCCAATCTCCCTATTCCATCCATTGGAAAGGCCTGTGCCTGAGCAGTAGGGACATTAATAGGCTGATGATGATAAGCTGTCAGTTTGCTGGCATCGCAGATTACAGAAATTATCTGGTAATCAAGGTTATGACTGATTAAATGGGGTGACTCGGGACTTTTTTAGTTACTACCTGTTTTTTTATCATTGATGACTGATAGAATTAATAAGATATTCTTCTCATAAATTCTACATTTCTGTATTTTACAGAACAGTAGAACTAGAGGGACTCTTTATTCCCACTACTTCTACCTGAACTAATGGAAGTTTTTGTTCTTACAAGTCAGTCCTACGTTGTGATATATTCCAGAATAGTACTAGTGAAACTTGTTAAGTTCCGTGCAATTCTACTGTTGAATATATTTCACAGAGTAGAATTGCACACTAAAGGAGTTGTCTACCAATTGCTTTTAAATGAAACTCGAAAAATTATTAAAAAGATAATTAACAATGTCAAATAATATAAG